GCCCGGGACCCGACATGGTCTACAACCCGGGACCCGACATGGTCTACGAACCGGGACCCGACAAACCCCTCACAGTTACTCTTGATGGGCGCAGGAATGGGCCCTGCCGTAAAAAAATTCAAATGATATGCATCTGTCACACACCAGTCTCCTTGTTGGCCTTCCAGACCTAATGCGGGGCATATTGTAAAATTTTATCAGAGAATGTTGGATGGGAAATTGGTGCTTTGTTGCAATACTTTATTGAATGTGGTGCTTGGTGCAATATAAACCTAAAAACAAAAAACAAAAAATTAAAAAAGGAAAAGAAAACAAACAAAAAAAACGGAACACCTGCGATGCAGAAGGAGGAACAGCAAAGAACCTGCTGCTGAAAAAAAAAAGTAAAAATAATAATAATAATAAAAAAAAAGGGAACATCGGTGACGCAGAAGGGGGTACAGCAATGAGGCCGCAAAAGAACCTGCCGCTGAAAAAAAAAAAGTTATAATTAAAAAAAAAATGAAAAAAGAAAAGAACGGGAACACTGGTGACTCAGAAGGAGGAACACCAGTGACGCCACTAACACACACAAAAAAAAAAGAAAAGACAGTGAATATATGGCACAGACAATAACACTATATGTAGTGCAGAGTACTATACATAGCACTAACATGCTGTATAAAGCACTGACACCAGTTATCTTTCCCTACACTGCACTCAGGGCTGGATTTCCCACAAGGCCAACCAAGGCCCAGCCTTGGGGCAGCAAGGAGTAGAGGGGCAGCAGGGGTGTGGAATTCCTATCTCCCGATGCCCGGGACATGCAGTTCCGGGTGCCAGGCGGGTAGTTGTTTTCTCCATTTAGCCCTGCTTTAGGCAAGCAGATCTAAATGTAGAGCGGGAAAGCCACCGCTTTTTTTGTACAAGTGATCCCGGCGATGTCGCCGAGATCACTTTCATGCAGCCTGCAGGTGTGCCATTGTCCATGGGAGGGTTGGCGGGTAGGGGGGCGCATTGAGGAACTTGGCCTTGGGGCAGCAGAGAGAGTGAATCCAGCCCTGACTGCACTGTACTACACTACAATCTATCTTTATCTCCAGCAACACACTACATAAGGTTGCGGTGTGAGCAGCCTTATATAGTGCGGGGCTGGGACTTAGCTATGAGCCAGGATGACTTTGCCCAATCATGGCTCCTAGAGTGCACTGTACCGTGCTTGGGCAAAGTCTTGCACCTGACCTATGGTCAGGTGCATTGCTTTACCCAATCAGGGCTCACACAAGGCACTGTGCAGTGCCTTGTGGGGTTCTCGGCGGGCGAATAGCCCGCCGAACGCCCTGATAGTTCATGTGTTAGTTCGTGTGTGCGCCGAACACACAAACTACCGATGTTCGAGTTTAACCGTTGTTCGACACGAACATCGGGCCCATCTCTAATAAGTCAGTTCACTGGCTGATCTCCGTCCAATCACTGAATGCGGTAAAAGTAATGTGTATTACATCACTTCCGGTTTCAAGCAGTCATTTCTTCGGCTGCTTCATTAGCTTCTATGGGTGTCCCTGGGTGACATTAGGGGTCTAATAGGCCCCTGATGTCTCCATAAAAGGGGACCTGTTGCGGTGTCTGTGCTTGATAGCCCCCTATGTAATAATAATAAAGTTAAAGGAGAAGTATGAGGTGACTGGTTTCCACTCATCCTCATAGTTAGATCCGACTTGTGACAAAGAAGCTGTCACAGGTCGGCTCTATCGATCGGGAACTGAGCAGAAACATGCCGCTCTTTTGTGGTTAAAGAAGAATTTCGGGCAACTCAAATGTTTGCCTAAGAACTTAGTCATCATGTTTCCAAACAGCTCCAAGATCACAAGGGACAGAGCATTCTTCAGCAGCTGTCCATCTACTAGTTTGGAGGAGGGAGCAGGGAAATGGCTTACCTTGCTGTGCTTGTGTATTTGTGGAGACACACACACCTCACTAGCACACACAAGGGGGAACCCATAGAACCTTGCAAAGGAAAGGAGCCACCCTAAAACAGGATATCAGGACCAGTGCTCAGGGGACCAGCTGATTCTGAAGGAAAGTAAAACTTTTGAACATCAAGGAACAGCATTCACTGTAAGTGATTTAATCTGCATTTGAAATACCTTAAAACAATAATCCCAACTCCAGGCAAAACCTTATTTCAGCTTTGTCAGGTTTTTATTGATGTGTCCTTGGGGAAATTTACCTACCCTTCCTGTACAGGTGACACATCCACAATGACAAGAAGTGATGGGATAGTGATTACAAAAACACATTTATTAGGTGATGTAAGGAGGAGCTAGAACATATCTCTGTCCCAGTGACACCCGTGCTCTCATTTCTTGTCCTGGTGTCACCAATACAGGTAGTGAGGAAACATCCTCCCGATGAGGACACAGACCGCTATATAACTGTGACAGATTTCCTAACTTTTCCCAAATCTATAGAAAACAAAAAAAAAACTACGTTTTGCCTGGAGTTGGGCTTTAAAGTGTTTGGGGGGAAATGTATCAAAACTGGAGCCGGTGGCAATTTGGAGCAGTTGCCCATAGTAACCAATCTTCAGTTTATTCAGTTAAGCTTTGAAAATGAAAGAAAGACGATGACTGGTTGCCATGGGCAACTGCTCCAGATTCTGCCTGCTCCAGTTTTGATGAATCCCCCTCTATATAAAGCCAATCGCTACAAAAACCACCCACAGTGTTCCGGCCGGAATGCACTGGATCGCATTGCGACCGGCTCACATTGTTGTGGGGTGGGGGTGGCAGGGGGACGTGGCGGTGCACTGAAATAAATGGCACCGCAGCCACGCCCTACGGCTGCAATGCAATCGGCCGCACGAGAACGCGTGGCACATCAGTGCCTGCATTCCGGTCCGGTCTGAAAAAAAAGTGCTTGCAGCATTTTTTATGACCGGACCGCAGGCATTGATAACAAAGTGAGCCGGCCGCAATGCGATCCAGTGGGTTTCCGTCCAGAAACGGGCCGGATTCACTGTGGCTGCTGTGAACTAGCCCTTAGAAGTTTTGTTTTTACTTTAAATTGTCACACAGACGATATTTACAAAGAGAAGTGCAGGAAAGTGACGGCTGGTTTATTTAGCATATAATGGAGGACTAAGTTCTCTGCATCCTCCTTTAGGCCCCATTCACACCGGAGCGGTTTGGTTGCGTGGATCTGTCCGCGCTGAACCGCCAACATGAAGGACCCCATACATTCCTAGGGGGACCGCTCATGTGATCGCACGGCTCGCGCCCTAGTGTGAATGGGGCTTTACACAGTTGGTGGTGATGGCCATGATTCACCAGGTTTGCCTATAGCTGGCCATATATTACACAATGTGATTGTACAATCGCGTTTAGGTCTATGACAACTATGTAGTGTGAGGGCCTTCCTGATTGGTTAGGTGTGTCCTGATATTGCCTAGTATTGGTAGATCTAAGGTTTATTGTATAGTATATGGCAGCCATTAATCAGATTGTATAGTGTATGGCCAGGTCACTACTTTAATGTCTTCCTCCCTTTAATCCCAGGACTGTGGGTGTATACTGTGATTATCGATGTGCCCATCCTGTGGCAGGCAGAGCATGCTGTGTGTGTACAGATCTCCGCAGAGTGTCCCCCTCACTTCCTGCTCTGGCTGTGTCACCAGCAGCAGGCATGAGTACCCGAATGGGCGTGCAGGGTGACATGACGCGCTCCTTCCAGCAGAGGGCCCTCGCCAGATGCAGAGACTGGGCTCGTCCAGCAGGGGGCCCCCGTGCCGCCAAGCGGTGTGTGTCTGTATGTGTGTGAGTGTGTGTGTGTGTGGGCGCCGCTCGGACTTGTTGTTGGTGAAAGTTTTGCTGGGAGGGAAGAGGCGGCTGTGTGCGGTGTGTGAGACGGCGGAGAGTGCGGAGGGCCGGCGGGGAGCCGGGGCTGTGCGGGGGAAAAGCAATGTGTTCCTGCGGTGTGTGACCTGGGACCCTCGCTCTGAGCGGCGGCGGCCTGTCTGTATGCGGCTGTAGTTAGCGGGGTGCTGCCTGTGTGTCACTGACCCGTGTCTCCCCTCTGCTGTCCCAGCTGTCTATGAGCGCCCCCCCGGTCATCAGGCCGCCCAGCCCCGCGGGCCACGGCCTCTCCCTGCAGATCCAGATCGGCCTGAGCCGGGAGCCCGTCGTCCTGCCCGAACCCGGGGAGCTGAGTTTGGGGGCCGTTCGGGAGATGGCCTGCTCCATCGTGGACCAGAAGGTGAGGCCCTAACCTTGCATGTGTGTGCTGTCATCGTACGACTTCTCATACACTTCCTGTCGGCAGTACCCCATATCCGGGCTGAGGAAGGTCCCATGTCCGGGATTGTGGGGGCCCCGTATCCAGCCTATTGGGGCCCCATGTCCAGGTGTGTGTGTCCCCCATATCCAGACTGTTGGGTGCCCCGGGTCCAGGAGTGTGGGGGCCCCATATCCAGGCTGGTGCTCCATATCCAAACTGGTGGGGGCCCCATGTCCAGTAGTGTGGGTGCCCCATGTCCAGGAGTGTGGGTCCCCCATATCCTGACTGGTGGGTGCCCCATGTCCAGGAGTGTGAGGGCCTCATATCCAGACTGGTGCCCCATGTCCAGGAGTGTGGGTCCCCCATATCCTGACTGGTGGGTGCCCCATGTCCAGGAGTGTGAGGGCCTCATATCCAGACTGGTGCCCCATGTCCAGGAGTGTGGGTCCCCCATATCCAGACTGGTGGGTGTCCCATGTCCAGGAGTGTGGGGGGCCCCAAGTCTGGGATGGTGGGGGACCCTGCTGTCACCTTATATCCCACCTGTGGGGGCATCTTCCTGGTAGGAACTGTACTGCTGCTGCTTGGATATCACATGGATGTAAAGTAGTTGTGAACCTGATTACTAAAATCTGATATGGGGGGTGTTAAATTTTTTGTGTAATTCCCGGAGTCCAGCTTTATTGTCATTTTTTAAAATTTCTCATTAAAGTATAATCTGGTGATCCCGCCATGAACATCCTCCTTCATGCACTTCCTGCTATAGGCTGACAACTGTCTCCAAACTTTGCTTAGGTGTTGTCACCGTGTCACATGAGTGCTGGTTAAGAGGACAAGTGACTTATAAAGATGAGTAAGGTGGTCCAGAGCTATGATGTGTTGGAGACAGTGGGGTGAGTGCATATAGACAGGAGGTGCCTGGAGGAGACCCGCAGCACTGACATCAAAACAATTGTATTGAACGAAACAAAAATGGTATTTGGTCGAAGAAATGTCATCTGGTTCGGGTTTAGATCCACCCTAATGTCCATGTGGTTTTGGATTTTTATGGCAACATTTTTATTAGATGGTTTCAGTCCAGTTACGTGAAAACAAAGTATTTTATTGTCCAGCTGATGATGGATGTTTTTGTTTTAGTTGTGTGTGAATTCATTGTATGTGTTGACTTTGTCTGCGGTGCTGTGGATTGGAGTGCACGGCCTCTTCCCGGGTGACACATCTGTCCCAGCCCTCATCCTCCTACACTTCTTATCTCGCACACAATCATTCCTACATCCTGGAGGTCAGAAGTCTGATTCCAAAAATCAGTTTATATGTAAACATGCCAGATTATTTACAATCATTCTGCCCCCCCCCCCCCCAAATAGAGGGGGGTAATTGTATTACTCATAGTTTCCATAATTGATGTATTGAAGTCTGTGGATCTGCAGAATGATCGCTCAGGTGCTCTCTGTCCACTTCCAAATGTTTCTGGATGTATTCTTTGTCTGCGTTCTGTGTACATGTAGTAAATGGCGCACCATACAACGCTTTTCTCTGGAGAATGTTATGAGAAGGGCTTGTATTGTTCTTATACAACATTCATCCTTTTTCTTTGTGTGTGACGTTAAACGTTTGTGTCCCATTGCTGGGAAGTTGTAAAGTGTTTTGAAAATAAGCCTCTTCTATGGCTGTGCACTGCGTTTGTTTGATCTTATGTACCCAAAGATACATTGTGAGAGGATACTTGTTGTTGCTCTATCTATGGGTCTAGCACCTGTTCTGGTGATGCTAAAACATAATTTTTCCTTTTACTTAATATATTCTGTCCTGAAAGAAATTTCAGTTGCCATTGTAACGTATTAGTAGATGCCTATGTTCTGCTGGGTGCCTACATGTAACGCCCTGCTGGGTGCCTACATGTAACGCCCTGCTGGGTGCCTACATGTAACGCCCTGCTGGGTGCCTACATGTAACGCCCTGCTGGGTGCCTACATGTGACGTTGATGTAACGCTGTGCCAGAGGCCTACATGTGACGCTGTGCCAGAGGCCTACATGTGACGCTGTGCCAGAGGCCTACGGGTAATGTTCTGCCAGAGGCCTACAACAGGACAAATGCCAGGAGCCAGGTAGCCAATTTTCTTAAAAAATTATACCTGGTGCCCAGCTGGCTCCTAAAAAAAAAAAAAAAAAAATCTTACTGTCTCCTGGATTGGACAGAGTGTCTTCTGAATTCCACCTTAATGTGTTCACTCCTGGTCTTCATAGATGCCTACATGTTTCCTAGACATGTTGAACATGCTAATTTCCTAAAGTTCCTTAAAGTCAACCTGTCTTGAGACACATGTGCGCGCTACCATCTCCAACACTCCTGAAAATAGTTTCTTAGCTGTGATATTGGTCCTGCATTTTCAATATTAAGCGAGTCTCTGGTTTGGAACAAGTAGGTATCCAATGAAGTCAGAATTCTTGAGGGCATACTTGTTCCAGGTAGTGGTTGGGAATGGCGATGCACACATTTTCCTCCTGATTATAAACATACACAACTTACTTTGTACAATGTGTAATCTTTCCAGCCTCTGCCTATGGCTATAGCATAGCTGGGCCTGCGCAGTGTAAGCAAGTAGCATTGCTAAGGCAGATGCCCACTTGATACAAAAACGTTGGCATCCCTTAACAGCGACGAGGGTAGGGAGGAGCAGACATGGAGCTGAACTGTATGGAAAAGCTTGTGCGACGTCTGTGTTTTCTATTCTTTGAGAGACTTGTAGGAAGAGCTGTGTCTGTGAAAAGGAAGAGAGGAAACGTAACAGCAGACGTACTTCTCACAAACAGACTGAAAACAAACTGTTCAGAGGAAATGTGTGCCGAGGCTTGATTCAGCACTGCATGCAGCTATGACTTGACAGTGCGTCTGGCGAATATTTACCATGCACAGGGCAGGGGTAAACACAGCAAATCCTTCAGGTTTGCTGTCACAGGTTGATTTGACAAAGACGAGAAAATTGTTTTTGCTTATGTATAATCTTTTGCAGCCCGGGAGGAGGAATAATTAGCTGGATGATAAAAAAACAAAACGCATACTGATGCAGTGGTCATGTGACTGTAGCGCTCCTCCTGTCACTCAAGGTGCACTGCCATTGCAGCTGAATGGTTGCTGTTGGTGCATCTTGCATCACTGATGTAGTGGATCAGGGGGGTTTACTTCTTAGCTTGGCTTACCTGTCTTAAAAGAAAGGTAGATGCATTGCATGCTTAGCATGTTGCGCTGCCTCTTTAAGACACGGGCTCTTCCAAGATGGCTTCTGGAGCCTGGTTGAATGCACTTCCTGTCAGCTCCATTACTATTGCCATTCCCTGTAATCATTGAAAGCACTGCTATGGGAAGATAATGTTGACCGGTGTTCCCCTGTATGACAGTGTGCTAAGCGCTTCTTCATAACAACAGTAATAATGGTAACAGTGTTGCCGCTGCCCTGAGATAACCTGCGTGTGTCTTGTTGGTGCAGAGGTGCTGCAGCAGCCGAGTGTCTTCTGAAAGCAGCTTTGTGGAGAGCCAAGCAAACCCCCCTAGTAAGAAGTGGTTTTCAGCTGTGTTAATTTTTTTGCATCCGGGTTCAAGAATAAAAAAAAAGTTACAAGTGTGTAATAATGTATCCTTATCTATCTATCTATCTATCTATCTATCTATCTATCTATCTATCTATCTATCTATCTATCTATCTATCTATCTATCTATCTATCTATCTATCTATCTAATCAGTACGTGGGGTATCTCTATTATGTGCAAGCCCTGGTTCACACCTAGGCATTTTTGAGCAGTTCGATAAGCACTTTTACCTGCCCAAGACAAGAAATCCCATGATTTTCAATGTCCCTGGTTCACACCGGAGCAGGAAAACACCAGACGCCTGAAAAGATACAGGGGCTTCTTTGGGCAGTTAAAAGCGCTTTTCCTCCCCATAGACTTCATTGGAAATGCCCAAAAACATGCTCAAACGGTGCTGCCTTGGTGTGAACCAGGGCTTACTGAGCCACTAAAAACTCAAAAATCCATGCCTTGGTTTGTCTGATTTCTTAGTGCAGGGGGGTACAAATTAATATGGATTCCAGGAGCCAGTCTGTCCAATCCAGGAGACAGTGGGATGTTTTAGGAGCCAGCTTCACTGATAATAACAAGACAACACCTCAGAAGTTGGGCACCAGGTGTAATCTGTAAGTAACATTGACTACCTGGCTCCTGGAAGTTTTGGATAGAGTAGTGAAGTGTAAAAGCAGACCTTAAGCCCTCGTTCACACCTGAACGTTTTGTAGCACGTTCTACGCTCGACGAACGCTCTACAAAACGCTCAAAAATATAAATCCCATTGTATTCAATGGTCTCGTTCCCACCTTGGCGTATTTCCGCCCGTCCCTAACGCGCTACAAAACGGCCCACGCCTGAAAAGGTGCAGGTACTACTTTGGGCTGTTTTGTTGCGCGTTTCCATTGGGATACAGCCAAGTAGCCTTCGGAAACGCGCAACTTTTTTACCGCGAATCGCGGTAAAAAAATGCGCGACGGTCACGCATATGCAATACGCCTAGGTGTGAACGAGACCTTACCACCTTTCACTAAAAATCCTCTTGGCATTCAGCTTCTGTATGCTGATATGAAATGATCTTACTTTCATTAATTAAACAAACATATTTTTATTTAACTTCTTTTTTTCTACTTCCGGGTCCTCTTGGGCATTATTGGTCTAATCTGTGCCCAAGCATTGCATCTTGGGAAGGTTACATCAGCAGAGCATTGCTGGGAAATCTTATGTGTTATCTCATGAGATCTCTGGGAAATATATTTTCCTCCTCAGAGACGTTGTGCATGGTCACATGTCCTAGTCACATTGCCAGAATTCCCGGAAGTAAGGGGAGATGTATTAATCTGCCCTTAGTAAACATGGCCACTGTGAGAAGAACGGGGAGGAAAAGAAAAATAAGGTATGCAAAGAATAAAAACC